GTTGGCATAAGTATATTGTGTCTGAAGGGGATTACTTTGAAGGCGACGAAATAGATTTGGAATAATAAATAAAGATTAAAAAAAAAAATTTTAATCAAGACATGGCGATATAATCGTTGACAGGATCGGTTTACTTTTAGCTGAACTCAACAAAGTTATGACGGCTACTTCTCAATATTAATTTATTACTTAATATTATTTCGGTAACGGTCTTGTCGGCTTTAATATTGCGACTAACATTCATGTCAATTTGCGCAGGTCTTTTACTAATTGTAATGCGTTCGTGTCGTACACCTTGAGCTTTATTATCACTGAAGAAGTTCATGGTTGAGCCGTATGATTGTTTTATATTGATTATTCATGTTCAATAAATATTACACGATTTCCTAACATAAGGAAGGTTTTTACCCATATGGTATATAGCACTATTAGTCCTGTGCTTGAACTCGAATTGCCCTTTTTCCTATTTTTTGAAAAAACTTTAAATTGGTCTTACTTTTTGGGCACAGTAGTAGATCGGGCCTAAGAGTCGCAGGCGCGAAAGAAGCTACGTCCTGCAGAACGGCGCATGATATCTGTATTGCTCGAGATACCGCAGACGAAAGCGACCTCCCAGTGGAGGACGCAGTGTAACAGTGTCCGGACAGATCTCGCGAATCCTCCTCTCAGCCAAACCGGGAATGTATTAAGGAGATGGCAACAAGCTGTGGAATTACCAAAATACCTCTTTAAAAGGCAACCCTATGTGTCGTAAGTAGACATTATAAAGGAAATGACCTAACAATGCACTCAAAAGGCCTCGAGCCGTCGCTCGAGCCGGCTTATATAGCCACTGGGCTGAGACTTAATTGTGAGCGACGGTCCGACGAAGCCGTCGCCGCGACGCGGCGACGACGCGAAGCAGTGCCGAAGGCGCCCACGAGTGACGAGAGTGCCTCCGGCTACCCACCGCATCCGATCCGGAACAAATATTAATATTAATTAATTCCTCTAATTACACCAACATTTTTTATTCATAATTGCGAAAAATTTCAGAATTAATATATCGTATATTGGAATTAAGAATACACTGAGAAAAAAATATTTAAAAATTAACAAATATTTATTAGGTAGATATCATTAACACATTTACTTAAATCAAAATTTTCTTCATTTAAACCGAGTATTGTTTATTCGGTTTAAGTAAACAGTACTTAAATTGAAAAGAAAATTAAATAAAAAGAATTTTAATTTAAATAAATATACCAATGGTATCCACCTAATAAATATTTGTTAATTTTCAGATATTTTTTCTTTGTGTAGAGATTAAATACTGATAGAATACTGACAAAATCGTATATTGAAAAATTTTAGAAATGTTTTCTAATCTTGATATAAATAGAATAAAAATGAGTAACAATTTATAGTATTAAAGAATAATAGCCTATATATTGTTTCTCCACTGGTCCTTTAGACGAAATTTTTGGAATTAATGTAAGCAAAATTTCAAGGTTATTTCGAGGAGAAAAAAAGTGAAGGAGAAGATATCCGACGGAGACACATTAATTGTTTATTACGCGCTGTATATTTACAAAGTTGGCAACGTCCCGACAAAATGTACCGTAAAAATTGTATTGTTTGTTACTTTCTAACGTATCTCACTCGCGCCGAACTATTTACATCGAGCAGCATTCATTCATTCAACATACAAAATCCAACGAGTCAAGTACAAAGTACGCGCTATACGGACTCTTGCGTTATAAAATACAGAATAAATACAGGTAGACCGGTAGCTGTCGATGGCAGTCGCGAATGTCGTCACTTCGAGCGTAGGCAAAATTTTCGTGGGGATTTTCCTGGAAACATAATTCGCATTAACTATCCAGTGTATCTCTCCTGGTCTCTTCTAGCCGCTGATTATACTCCTTGCGGATTTCTTCGAGAGGTTTCACCAGGAATATCGGCACGTTGTCGTCTCTCCTCTGCGGAAGAACAAAAATTAAATTAGATTAGGTTAATTTTACGATAATATCAGCGGAGCATAACCATTTATCATATCAATTTGTCAGTTTTGAATTTATTAATTGATTGTTATTCAAATAAAAATAATTTGAAATTTGATAATTTTATCTTTATCTAAAGTTTACTTTCATTTGTCGGAGTTGACTTACTCTCTTTAGGAAGAATAAATAAATAATTAGAATTAAAAAAGAAAGAAAAGAATTGGCTCTGTGATATAAATCGAATAAATGGAAGAGGAGAAAAGAGCCTTTAAGAGCCAAACACAGATTGTAGTGCTATTTATATGCAATAAAATATGCTCATGATTACAGTAATAGAATATAACAATACGTTTCGACCCGATTTGGGTCCTCTTCAGTAAATAATAAAACAGTACTAGTTAATTGCGTAAAGGTTAAATAGGAACTAAAACACAAACAAGCAGCGCATACAAAACTTTCGCTACACGGATCTATATAGGTAAATAATTAGAGACTAATATTTTTTTGATGTAAGCCTAAAATTGTATATCTAAAATTGATTAGATCGAAATGAAAATGTAAAAATGCAATTATCAGGAAACATAAGACTGGTGCGAATTGACTCACCTGGAAGAGACACTCGCCCTCGAATTCCAAAAACTTTAGTTTCCTCGCCCTCAGCAGCAGTCCCACGCATTTGTTACTGATGTTAGTGTAAATGTTGAAGATGTCGCCGAACGTGATGCCGATTACGTCAGGCTGATCTTGACAAGGTGTGCCCTCCTGACTGATAATCTCGCAAAGCTCCAGGATCTCCTTTAGCACGTGGGCATTCGCCTTGCGACCGCGGATATCCGACTTAGAGCCTGCTTCTGGTCTGCAATGAGTCGATAAAAATGCAAGTTCATTAATTCATCGATTTATCAATTTAAGATTTGTAAATTTTATCGATTTGTATCAACTTATCAATTCAATTTTGCGAATTTTATCTGCAGACTTATTTTTATTTACTATGAGTTTTTTTATTTACTATAAATTTATTTGCTATGAGTTTCTTTTATTTACTGTGATTTTTATTTACTATGAGTTTTACTTTTTTATTGAAGTATATGGGTAAGTCCCCCCCTTTCTCTCTCTCCCTCCGATAAGTCTACGAAATTTCGCGTACCTGCCGTACTCCTCCTTGGAGAATTTCGGCTTCTCGATGTTCAAGCCGGACGTGAATGGATTCTTGCTCTGCTTGTCCTTGTGCTTGCTGGCATACTGGTTGAACATAGCAACCTTGGCGCCCAAGGACTCCTACGAGAGAAACACGATGAGTGACACATTAATCCTCGATTATTTGTAGACGCTAGACGTCATGGAATATCTAATTTACTGCACGAATTATCCGCGCGAACCGAGACTTTCGTGTCATTTTAAATTCGAGAAATTAGAAAATAGTAACAGTAAGACGTGTGTATGGCCAGTGTCAAGTCGACCATTTCTAATCGCAGGCGCATAACGCGATGCCAAAAATGAAATATAAATTAATGTAATAGAATCTCATATTCAAGAAGCTTAAAAACGGCCCGCACACTTGATTACGTAGACGTCATCGAGTTAAGTCGTTTGACATCTTTAATAAGCCAGGAATTTCTGGAATTCCGCCAAATTGAATCTACGGATCGACCCTGGCCACAAAAGACGTCACGATGGCATTCTCGATGACTTTCACAGTCGCACTCGTTAATTGCACATTTATCCGCTCGTTACATTCATGTATCCACTCGAGTGGCACGGCAATTTTTGCGGAGTTTAAGATTTCGACATTGGTTGTGTTGTTTTTAAGAAAAAATCGTAAATCTATTCTCATGTTGTTTTAGCTTGTAAAGCCTCTTAATAATAAATCCAACTTTTTTCTTGGGAGAAATAAATATATTCTCCGAATTGTATCAAGCTGCTATTAAGAAATATCTTAGTCAATTATATGAAAAAATAATAGATTCAATAACGAATTCAGCTTGGAAGTTTTTCCTAAGGATCTACTTTCTAAATTGTTTCAGAACGTTAACTATTAGATGATAAAGAAATATCCCAAACTAAAGCATAAAGAAATATATAGTTTCGCTCAATTATGAAAATATAATAAATTCAATTTAGAACATTTTTCTCAAGAAAAGTATTTATTTTCCGAACTGTATCATCAGGGCGCTATCTTGATTTATCTTAATGTTAACTATTAGATGATAAAAAAATACTCTGAAGCCTGTGTGTGTGTGGAAGAAATATATAGTTTTACTCAGTGGTGTGAAAATGTAATGAGTTCAGCTGGGAAATTAATAAAATCGACTTGAAAATTTTTTTAAAGAAAAGAATCTACTATCTATTTCAAAATACTATCTTAATCTATCTTAATATCAATCACTTAACAATGAAAAAATACAAACTAAAGCCTAAAGAAATGTGTAATTTCACTCAATTATGAAGAATGAATTAATTAATTAATTCAACTTGAAAATTTTTTTCTTTGGAAAAAAGATCTATTCTTTGCAAACTACTTGTTTCAAAACGCTATCTTGACCTATCTTAACATTTATTACTTGAGGATGAAGAAATATACCGAGATAAAACCTGAAGAAATATGATTTCACTCACTTATGAAAAAATAATGAATTCAACTCGGAAATTAATCCAGTAATGAATTCAGCTTGAAAATTTTCCTCAGGAAAAGAATCTACCCTCTACATTGTCATAGGACGCTATCTTGATCTATTTGAACTACACTATTTGAGGATGAAGAAATATATCGAGTTGAAGCCTGAAGGAATATTTAATTTCACTCAATTATGTGAAAAAGTAATGAATACATCTCAGAAATGAGTATAACTTGGAAATCTTCCTCAGAGAAAGAAATTTCCCTCCGAATCGTATCAGTACGCTATCTTGACTTATATTAACGTTAACTATTTGGCAGTGAAGGCATACACCGAACTATAGCCTGAAGAAATGTATATAGTTTGACTTGTAATTATGAAAAAAAAATTTACTCACATACATAACCGAGGACATCGTCAGCGATTAATCCGAATAACTTGCAGACAAAACCACGATACTCTTTGTCTCTTGACGAGATGTTTTACAATGGAAGAGGAAAAGGAGGTTTCAGTCAAGTGGTGGAATAGGAACCGCCTCGGGCCGACAGTGCGGGGTATATTTCCACTTCCGATATATCGACGCGTCGCCACGACGTACGCTCGCTTCCGCTGGCGTGAGTAACGGCGTCGCGACGCCGCGCGTCCCTTTTTATAAGAAACCGTCGGCGTCTAACTCGTTCCTCCCACCGTGGTATTTCGGCGCGGGGTCGCACGAAATATTCCGCACCGATTCTCTTGATTGGCCGCCAGACGCGGCCCCACTAATATCCCCGCTAATAATCCAGCCAGGAATTCCGCTGGGAATGTCAAGTTCCGCTTTGATGCACACCAGAGAAAGAAAACAAGACGCGCGCCCTCGAGAGCTCCAGGCGCGTTCCTGCCTAATTTTAAATATCGCACTTCAGTTCACGGAACAAATGTGCGCCTTGCCGTGGCGGGATGTTTACTTGTGATTGAAATAATTGCATTTATGATTGATCTCATTATTGACCTTATTTAATGATTGCATAGTCTTCAATTATGTATCATGTGCAGAGTTCAGTCAAAGTAAGGTTAATCGCGCTTTCATTTATGGCTGAAATTATAATTTATTTGTGATTAAAATCTCGTGGTAGCTAATCGGAACTCTAATCTAGTTGTACACCACCTTCCTCATAACGTCGCGAGTAACTACCATAAAAGCAATTGATTTTTAATCGACTGGGATAAATGTTCGTGGCTACTTTGCAGTTAACGTTTAGATGTCGAAGATCAGATCAAGAGAGACTCAACTTTCAAAATAAGAAAGAAACGGAAGATCAACTTTTAAAATAAGACAGATGGCACTCTCTTATTTTGCGTTATATCTTTGTTACGTCGAATTATATAATTCTACACACTCTTTATATCTTCTAAAATGATAGCTCACTCAAAGGAAGCGAAAATTTATTGGAAATGTTAATGGAAATACAGCTACTCGAGATAGCAAGAGTGAATGTTTCACGCGAATTTAAATTAGATTCTTGATCCATTATGATTGTTTAATTAATTCGTCAACTGATTAGAGTGAATTTATTTCGGTGACGATGAAATGTATAAAATCCTCGCTTTAATTCCGAACGAAAATATTTACTTGACAAATTAGAACGAAAGAATTCATTCTATACGAATAAAAAGTCATTTAACTTCAAGTCACTCGTTAATGGAAATACGACTACTCGAGATAGCAAGAGTGAATATTTCACAGAAACTTAAATTAGATTCTTGATTTTAGTATCGTTTGATTGATTAATTAGTTCGTCAACTGATTAGATTGAATTTTTTTATTCCAGTGACAATGACATGAAATCCTCGTTTTAAATCCGAACAAAAATATTCAATTGACGACTTAGAACGAAAGAATTCAATCTATACGAATTAAAAGTCACTCAAATTTAAGTTACTCTGTTGCTACTCCATTTTGCGAGTCGAATTTTATTCGAGGAAATTTTGAGAATAATATTTATGATTGTCTTGACATTCTTCTTCAACCCTTCAACTTTGAGAATTCGAAGCTGCCATCCGAGGATACGTAAATAATTCTAGCAAGACAGCGTCACATTGCACAAGGGCGATAAATCGATCCTCTTCTCGCTTTCCCGGATATAACGCGATTATGCTGAATCGCACGTGCCTCTCTCGAAATTAGCAATCTTCACGTGATGAACGCGTGGCCATTCAGGAAATCTCGCACGTGACTGGCGAAGTAACGCGCCAGGCATGCGACAAGTATTCGACGTTACTCTGGCGGCAACACGGCGTGCAATACGCCGACGAGGGAGAACTCTCTCGTTCGGATCTTATCCCAAATTAACTTTTGACCGGCGACAATTTGTCAGTGACAGGCTGTGACAATATATGATCTGGATCGTAGCTAAGAGCGCGTAAATCACAACGCAAGACGACAGGCCGCGGCATTCCTTTCCATCCGTCGCGCATCTAAAACTACCGTTCACGAGCGAGTTTTCAATTTCTCACACTCTACGAAACATAATCGGTATGTTCTTCGCTAAGATATGCTGTAACTAGTTATAATACAGTTGAAAGTGTAGCAATCAGTAAAATCAGTAAAATCAGTAAAAATTCAATCAGTAAAATCAGTAAAAATTCAATCAGTAAAATCAGTAAAATCAGTAAAAATTCAATAAAAGGATCAATTAATAGATCCTAAAAGGATCAATTAATTGATCTATTAATTGAACTATTAATAGATCAATTAATATTAACTGTTCCCATTAATGTCGAACTTTGCAAACACAAACAGTCTTATCGCACGCAAAATGGATAGAAATCATTCTCCTCCCGCAAACGCACAGAAAGTTGGATTTGGTACAGCCTATGATGAATTTATGTATATATTACAGATTTCGTAATGAAGTTATACTTCCACTCCTTAAAATCGACGAAATATAAAACGGATGAGTAAAGTAAGAGTGTTCCTACTAAAACTCAATAAATATTCATTAATGATCGGTGAAATATTGATTCAATCAGAAGCATTGCTACTGATTCACTTCAAGAGAATATATAACGAATTTGTCAAAAGTTTGTAGAGAAACTTACTTTCATTAATCAAAATAAGATATAAACAGAGGAATGAGATGGGACTATTTTTTATTGAAAATCCGTAAATATTCACTGATAATCGTTAAAATACTTCTTTTACTGATTCGATCAGAAACATTGCTTAAGAAAACGTATAATGAATTTGTGTACTGAGATTTTGCGGAAAATGTTTACTTTCATTGGTCAAAATCAGCGAAATAGGAGAGTAAAGTAGCAGTATTTTTATGAAATATTAATGAATATTCATTGATAATCGGTGAAATACTCCTTTTACTATTCAATCAGTGCGTTGCTATTGATGCACTTTAAGAGAGCGTATAAAGAATTTGTGTACTGAAATTTGGCGGAGGAATTTTATTTCTAATGATAAAAATCAGATATAAAATGAGGCAGTAAAGTATTTTATAGCGAAATACAAAAATGAGGCAAGATTTCTATAAAAGATTAGTAAATACTCATTGGTGGTCGGTGAAATACTGCTTTTATTGATTCAGTCAGAGCCATTTTTAGCGATCCACTTGAAGAGAGTGGCTATCGATAAGAGTAAACCGATAGAAATTGACCCGATCGGGGCTTTGGAATTGACCACAGCTCGGAATCTACAATCCTCGGATTATAATTGGGACGATGATGCGCCGCGACGCTCTCACGCACATGTCCGTACGTAAAGGTCACGAAAATATGATTCAACACGCTGATAAATCTCTCATGAGAGCGGCGAATTTGCGAGAAAATACCTCCAACGGGGGTTTGCGAGCGCGGGCGAACATCGCCGGATGGACTGGCCGGGCCGTAAAAGGAGCTACGACGTAGCTGAGGTTTATAACGGCGCCGATTCTCGGCACTCCGGCGAGAGAGCCGGAAATGCAGAATTGGATCTGCTTTCGCGCGTCATTCTGCGCGCTCATCAATGGACGAGGCGAGTCACACGCATCGTTTGCTCCCTTGAAGTTGCGTAGAATTCTGAAAATGTAGACTCGCGTGACTCGCGACGCGAAGGTCGATAAACGTGCTCTAGTAAATTCGCAGAACACTTCTTTGGGAATCTCAAGGAACTACTAAGAACTGTAGAGGAGACCGGATCTGGTTGTCACGTTCTTTACATGCTGATTAAAAAAAAGTTGCATACAATATTTTTATATTTTTTTTACAATTTTTTTAATACAATATTTTTTTTTTAATATTTTGCACATTTTTATATAGGTACAATCTTTAGAAAGAGAAGAAATATAATTCTTATATATATTTACATAAAAAAATTATTAAGTTGTAAACAAAGTAATGCAAATGTGTCTATCTACCTCATACCCAGGATTGTTTATGACATTCATATAAAGACAACAAGACAAATAATTTCTATTTTAAGGTTTTAAGTGAGTTTAAGTGAGTTTTAAGTGTTTACAATAAACAATTATTGTAAACTAAGAAGGTAATAATTCTTATAAATGTTGTAATAATAATTTCATAAATTTTCTCTCTCTTTCTCTTTCTACAGGACCTTAGCCAGACTCACTGTTGTGATATAACGTAATATATCACTGCATATGCTTCTATGCACTTATGTAAATCGCGTCATAGCTACGTGACAGATTTGCAACGCGTGATAACTAATTCCACTTAATTTGAATACTTTGTCCGAAGGGTTATTTGGAATAACAAAAATTATACTTATAAATTATTAATTTATTTATTAATATATATAAATTATGTTGAGATAACGGTTAACTAAATGCAGGGAAAATTAGCTAAACCTATAATATTTCTCATAACTAAAGAGAGATTGCAAACAGAAATTCCAAGGCCAACGGATTAATAAAAATAGAGACAAAAAACTTATTCACCGCATTCATTTGTGAAAAAGTAAATACTATATGTAATATTTCTTGTCATAAGTTATTTTGTACAGCCACTTAATATGATACAAGCAACCTATATTATAAAAAAGAATATTTCCCATTTGTAACTTCAGATATAAACTATGTAATAACTGATCTATGTGATTTCTAGATCCGATCTTCCTTACATGCGAAATAATATATTTATGGCTTGAGATTTTATACTTAAGTATTTATATACTTAAGTATTTATATATTCAGTTAATACTTAAGTATTTATATATTCAGTTATTTTTCATTTTACATTAAGTTATTTATAATATTTATATATTAAATTATATTATTATATAATTATTATTGTATAATTGATATTTAAGTTAATCTCTCTTAAATTTATGTCCAACTGAATATGAATTTAAAATGTGAGGTCGTTTCAGTGCTTGCATATCATCTTAAAATGAGCTTAAAATGACTTTAACTTTTTAACTGTGCTCGGATCTTCGCAACACGAGCTTTTAAAAAATTCCAAATATAGTCAACGCGACTTTCTTCTTGTAATACACATTTTTAAATGAGATAAAAATGCTAAAAATGATAAAAATGAATAATTTTATAATACATTTACTGATAAAAATGAATATTTTTATAATACATTTACTGATTAAATTGTTTAGAATTGTAAGAATTATACATTGAAATATATTAGAATGTTAAATA